TGAACAACTATATTGTTGTGGTTTAACCTGGCAGGCAGCTAAAACAACTACACAACTGTTTGCTCAGTCCCCCCCACCTGTGGGATGTGGGAGAGAATCGGGGGGAAAAAGGGTAAAACTCATGGACTGACATAAAGTTTAATATGACAGAAAAGGAAGAGAATAAAAAAGTAGTAATAACACCACCACCACCACTACTACTAACAAAAGAATATACAAAACAACTGGTGCACAGCACAATTGCTCACTACCTGCAGACCACCTGTGGGTGCTCAGCTAGTTCCTGAGCATTGGTCTAAGCCCCTGGCCAGCTTCCTCAAATTATGCACTTAGCATATGACATGATATGGTATAGAATATCCCTCTGACCAGTTTGGGTCAGCTGTCCTGGCTGTGTCCCCTCCCAGCTTCTTTTGCACCCCCACCCTCCTCGCTGGCAGGGGAGTATGAGAAGCTGAAAAGTCCTTGACTTAGTGTAAACATTGCCTAGCATTGACATCAGTGTGATATCAACATTATTCTCATCCTAAATCCAAAACACAGCGCTATACTAGCTACTAGAAGAAAATTAAGTCTATCCCAGACAAAACCAGGACATACATATGAGCACTGTTTGATTGCATTTGGTCTGTCTGTCAAACCGTAGCATCAGTTTTATCATACTCAGTGGTATTTGTGAATTTTTCTGTTTGTTTTACACCAGATTATGTCCACATCGCACATGTTACATACAGTAAGGAGGAAGCCAGTCAAGGAAAATTAGCATAAGCCAAATTATAAAACAAAGCAATATTCTTCCATACAGCACTTAGACAATCACAGTGCTATAAAGCTACGTCTTGATGGAAATGCTATGATATTACTGCAAAGTATTGCAATTTATATGTTATGAAACATACTTCATGCAGCCACAAAAGCATCATCTTTCTAAGATTTCCACTTGTGGTTTATTGCTCCCCCTGGAATGACCTATACTTCTGTGGTTAGCAAGAATATACACCAGATCTTCTCAACCTTTACATGCCGTAAGCCTGTATTTTGCAGGGGGGGGAACAGGGAAGAGAGTGGTCATGACGTTTCTGCTTGTAATTTTTCTGGGGATTCTGAACTTCTACTTTTAGGTTCATTATCAATGTTATCATAAACCAGAAATGTTTCTAAAGTGTAGGTGTGTGTCTGTGTTTCAAGAGAGGAGACATTCTGAAATTGCACACACACATGCACCAAACTTTATTGTGTCAACAGTTTGACATTTTCTTAGAGTTTCTTTTTTTTCTTAGGAGTTTCACAAGTCAGAAGCCACTTTATGTGAGTTAGATTGCCCGTGTTAAGCACATCCTTCACTGAAAGGGTAGTTGTGTTTGTTTAAAAAGATGTGATGAAAATGAGGTGTTGCTATCAATTGTTACTGAGGAGGTGGTGGTGCTTGATACTGCGTTGTAGCTGAGCTGTAATCACAATTGTACTAAAGATTCGAGGTGAAGCTTTTTAAAGTTCTAGTTAAACTGATGTGGATTGGAGGGTTATTTTTGCCTTTTCCTGCTGTATATAGTGTGCAGCAGTTCTTTTCAGTGGTATTTCAACCATCATGCAAATAAAAAGCATCCAGAGTCTTCAGAATAATAGAGGTAATAATTAGTTATGGAAAATATTTTAGAAAAGCATGAACAACTTCCATCTTCTGGTTTGGAAGGCAGAAGGAATATGATAGATCAGTCAATTCTTTTATGTTTGTAGTCATAGGTCATGTCCCAGCTCATACAAGTACATAGAAGGGATGAAATGTGAGACTGAGAAGGTGGGCCTTACATTGCCAGACTGAACAGGATTTGGTGTATGAAAACGTAACAGTGTAAAACTAAAATATGAATCGGCCTGGTGCTACTTCTGTTTAAGCATGCAGTTGTGTTGGTTTTCTACCAGAGAGGAAAACATAAATCCCTAAGGATACTGTTGTATCTTAATTGAAGCACACCTTCAAACTTACCTAGAAAAGAAAATGGTGATACTGGGCAAATGTTCAGGTGGAAGTTTGAGTGCCCGTCATAGATTTCCTGCTGTTTGAACATTACAAACAGTGAAATGAGCTGCCTAAAGCAATGCTCTGTTAAGCAGAACATGTACAGAACTTAGTGCAGGATGGGCATGGAGCTCCTCTGCATAATGAAGGTTGTGCTGTATGGGATATTGAATGGTACAAGAAGGATTTTAGATTCAGAGAAGACATATAATACAATTCATAATAAGGGCAATGTGTCATACTCAATAACTTTTTATTTTTCATGTGTAGCTCCATTTTTTTTATTTGCTGTTTGTGCATACAGGAAAGTGTTTTATTGTATATTAGAGAAAAACAACAGCATGATGTAAACACCATTTGTATCATTCATAATGTTCTAAAATTGTCATATCTTAGGATTACTCTGGCTTGCCCAATCTAATTTTTTTTGTGCATTGCATGATTTTTCCAGTGTTGCAACTTGCTCCCTATGCATTTCTCTGTAAAGGAGTGCTCTAGATACAGGAAAGACACTGACTTTCTGTCCAGAGAGAGGTTTCACAGACTGGGATTGTGTCTATGTTAGCAGTCTGCGCATCATGTGGTAACATGGAAAAAGCTTCAAGTAAAATTCATGAAGGAAGATGGAAGGGAAATAGACAATGAGGTGGGCACAGCAGCAGTTCCTCAGCTACAGTCAGTTTCTGTGCCTTAAAATTCTGTTTCTGTCCTATTTTGCCTGCATGACTTTTTCTTTCTAAAGTGGAAAGGGTACTAGCTTTCTGTATATAGTCCCAAATTTGGCTCTTAGCATTATTGTAGGATTTTCCTTCTTTTCCTTCTTTTGTCTCAGAAGATGACTGCACGCTCCGTTCAAAGCAGGGAATTCACGCTCAGTTGGGTTTTATAGCACTATCAGTAATACCAGTGACCCTTCCCCTTCTGCCATCCTGAAGGATGAAACCTCAGGAAGCTCCTGCCACATTAAAAGGGTCCCAAGACAGACTAATGCTGTGCTAAGAACAGTGCTAAATAAAATTGAACGCATTTCATCTATTTTTCTCTAGTTTTAATCATATTGACTGGAGTCATTACCACTCTGAGCTGCTGAGCCTTGCCTATTTAGTTTGAGGTTACCACTCCGAAGGCTGCACCGAAGAGGTTATGTGAGCTCTCGCTAATCTGCATTGGGCAAAATCGGTAGGTTTTGCTCATACTATGCTGTTGCTTGTTTAGGCTGACTTTGCTGGCTTTGTCTGAGCAGGTGATAATTTCTGTAGTGACTGCTTTCACCAGGCGAGCTCTGAGGATGGTAACCTGCAGCAGGAAGGGCGGTTCAGTGCTATTTTCTACAATGAGCACTGCAGTTTAGAAAATTAATGTGTATCCATGTCTTGGTAACATTTGTGATATCAGACCCATATACTATGGCATTTGAGTGCAAATGAGAAACAGTTTGGATTTGCATCTTATATACTCTTATGTTGCTTTATCTTGCTGTGGAAATGTAAAAATGTTTTTAAGTAGAAGCAGGGCAAGACTGACTAATTACAGTGGTGTTAGATACTCTTACAAAAAATAATTTGACCCATGACAGTTTTTTGCAGGAAGGAGCATGACAGCAGGACGTGTAGAAAGATTTGAAGGTGGAGAACAAGAAATGAAGCAAATTAATTGTCCGAGTTCAGTGATACATTTTAATACATTGAAATGGATGACATTGGGAAAGTGGAGGTGAATTAACCTATTGTATGGACTCTTGCAGATCAGAAAAGCATAGGCTTTATTAGTTTCAAATCTATGCATACAATGTAAGGGGAAGTCTTGTGTACATGGAAGGGCAGAATTTGATTATGTCTCTGGGTGTCGTTACATGTAATGAACTGTGAAACAAGGCTTATCTACCTGTGCCTTATAGGCTTGCTGAAAGGACTGTATGTGATTAAAGACAGTGCATGTGTGCACATTTTAGGCATTATGATTTGTTTGAAACATAATCCAAGTAATTCCTCACAAACAGAATTTAATCACTGTGTGATGGAAATCACTGAGTTCTAAACATCCTAGTTTTTCTTTCCAGTTTTTTATGGCAGAGCAGGCAAAGTGCTGTTGAGGACTTTTCTTTCCAGTGCTGTCTTGTGGTATTTTTTCTGTAACTTGAGGTTCTTCCCAGGCACATAAGGTGTTCAACAAATGATGTTTGTTCTATTATATTTTCCTAAAGCACCCAGATGAAAAGGAATTGTGTGATGGAGAATGGTGCTGACATTTTCATGACTGGACTATTCGGAGAATGATGCGATAAACCTAATGGAAGTAGCATGCTTGAACAGTTGAGGCTGGTGTAGTAGAATACAGTTACAGTTTTAAAATTTTTTTTTGATACTTGCAGTTTAAAAATAAGGCTTCGAGGAAGGGGAATCCCAGTCTTTTGTACTGTGATGCAGAATGCTAGAAAATTTACACTGTAAAAGTATGAAAAGTATTTGAGGCCACAATATTGCGGTCCTACATTGTCGTTAGCATGCCAGGCAAGTGTGAGACAGATCGATGTGGAGTAAGACAGTGCTTGTTGACAGTCAAGTGGGACAGCAGCCAGGTAAGGGCTTCTGTTTCACCTGAACTTTATACATTTGTATAAAGTGGTGTCTCCATTCCCCCTCCTTGTCCCCCCAGCCGTTCATTAGATTGGTTGTCCGAGACCTGCTTGAAAGTAGGTAATTTACTATGGCTGGGCAAAGTCGAGAATGTTCTTATGTTTTCTGCTCTAAGAGAAGTGTATTGTCAAGGTACCACTGTGTTTTTTAGATCAGCCTGGTGATTTTAGACTTGTTCAGTAATTTTGTATTTAATTCTAGCTCATGTAGAGAGTCACATTGGCAGCCGTAGTGCTTAGTGATGGAGGAACCCTGACCAGTGAGGCAGCCAGTGAGGTTTCTCTCTTTTTTTGTCAAAATACATACTTTTTCTTTTTTTCTAATTTTCTTGTTGTCATGATTTAACCCTAGCCGGTAACTAAGCACCACACAGCTGCTTGCACACCCACCCCCCCAGTGGAATGGGGAAGAGAATGGAAAAAAGTCCTCGTGGGTTGAGATAAAGACAGTGTTGTGGTTTTACCCCAGCCGGCAGCTGAGCACCATGCAGCTGTTTGCTCACTCCCCCTCATCAGGATGGGGGAGAGAATTGGAAAAGTGAGAAAACTTGTGGGTTGAGGTAAAGACAGTTTAATAGGTAAAGCAACAGCCATGTGTACAAGA